TAATTTAAAAAAAAAAAAAAAATTACTATTTTAGAATTGGCCTAGCGTGGTGGCTCACACCTGTAATCCCAGCACTGTGGGAGGCCGAGGCAGGCAGATCAGTTGAGGTCAGGAGTTCGAGACTAGCCTGACCAACATGGCAAAACCCCGTCTCTACTAAAAATACAAAAATTAGCCAGGTGTGGTGGTGGGTGCCTGTAATCTCAACTACTCGGGAGGCTGAGGCAGGAGAATTGCTTGAACCTGGTAGGCGGAGGTTGTAGTAAGCTGAGATCTCGCCATTGCACTTCCAGCCTGGGCAACAGAGTGAGAGACTCCATCTCAAAAAAAACCAACAACAACAACAAAACCAAACAATTATTATTTTAGAATTATAAAAGAAAGTGAGGGCTAAAGAAAGGTCATAAAACAAGAAAGGACTGACCTGCATTTGAACTGAAGGGTGACTGCACACTGGTGCTCTTGGCTGTCCTGACGAGAGAACCAAGGGAAGCTCTGAGGGCTGAAGCCACCACCACCATCACCACGAGATGAGCCCTGGACTCAGGCACAGGAAGATGAAGAGGAGCAGGTGAAGTTGTCAGAGGAATTGGAGCAGAGCAGATTGATGGCTGAATGCCGGAGGAGAATTAGCTGCATCCATTGCCCCAGGAGGCTTTTTTCTTGTTCCTTTTCTTCACATGTTGGTTGTATCTGCCAAGAGGGATGTTAGAGAGCTTCAGGGAGGAGCCTCCAGCGGATGTGTCCAGACTGGATTCTCCTGGGTTCCTGGATCATTTGCATGTGCACCTTGATGCGAAGAACGCTGTCAGGAACTGCTTGGAGAATTTGTGCGTGCTTAAGAAACGAAGGGTGGGCATATAAAGAGAGGGACTGCTGTGGATTTGAAAGAGTGAAGCAGAAAGTCTGTGAAAGCAGCGTGGGAAGGCCAAGTAAAATAAATCTTGAAGCATAAAGAAAAGGATGTTTATCAACAACTTGGAAGAGTAAATTTTAAGTAAATTAGAGTGAAATTTCCGTGAAGTATTAATGAGGTTAGTTTAAGCAATTATTTTAAGCTAGGTTTCTTTCGGTGAGAGAAAGAAAATGTCAGCATTTTTCTGCCAGTTCAGAAATTAAAGCTTTTTAGATGAAAATAGTGAATCATTTTTCTTGGCCAAAGATGACTTTTAAAAATTGCTCTCAGTTCCTTGATTTTAAAAGATGATGTTGTTTAGCTGGCCTGACTGCATAAAGCTCACTTACTAGAAAAATACTCTCAGTATTTGGATAGAAGAATGCCGTTGCTCCTTTACTTAAAGGAAACCCTCAACCTAAACCAACAGTTATTTGGTGTGGCTGCCTTCCTAGTTTTAATTTTTAATTGATCAGTTGGGGCCTTGAATTTTGCGTACATGTACTTATGAATTTCTTCTGTGCACATGGTAATATGATAAGTCTCAAGGACAGCATCATCTGTCCAGAGCCCCATCCTGCAGCCACTCATTGGTAGAGCCAGGATTTGAACTGAGGTCCACCTGACTCCAGTGCTTGATTTTTCTGTCTCATCACTCCCTTGACAAGAACTGTCAACAGAGAAGATGAAAACTTCTTACTGGAATCTACTAGGATATTTCAAGTTAGGTATGTAATCACTTCATAGTTTGGGGCATGGCACCAAATCTGTTGGACACATTTTGAACAAAGGACACATAAATAGGCTTTTAATATTTTTCTGCTTAAATAATAATTGGTGTCATTTGGTATAAGAATTACCATCGTCATCACCATCCTGCAAAATGCCTCAAACTACTCCAGCATAATTTTTTCTCTACATTTGAAGAAACGAGAAAATACTTAATCAATTTTTGATTATTTGATCAAATTGTGTAGACAGCTGAGAGTAGGAAAGGACCTAGTAGAGTCATCCAGTTCAGCCTTCCTCTTGGATCCAGAGAAGTTAGAGGAACTAACCCAGGGCCCATAGCAAAGACAGATGGAGCCAGGCGTGGCACCAAGGCAGGAACTCCTCTCACCCGCATATTATGTTTTTCTTCAGATTGATCAAAATCTATCTCCTAGTTGAGAATGCCTCCACTTTTGGAAAAAACAATCACCTGGCAATTAGAATTTGCTTTCCATAGTTAATGCTTGAGGAGTACTGTTTTCTTCTTTTCTTCTTTACCTATCCCCTTTCATACCCCCACCTCCAATTTACATGGAGAGAATTTATTTTTCCAGCCACCCAGAACAAGACCCCAGTGTGAAAGTATAGAGAGGACTTCAAAATTAATGTGTCTGCCGGCGGGGCATGGTGGCTCACATCTTTAATCCCAGCACTTTGGGAGGCCAAGGCAGGCAGATCATCTGAGGTCAGGAGTTTGAGATCAGCCTGGGCAACATGGAGAAACACCATTTCTACTAAAAATATAAAAATTAGAAGGGCACGGTGGCATGCACCTGTAATCCCAGCTACTTGGGAGGCTGAGGCAGGAGAATTGCTTGAACCCGGGAGGTGGAGGTTGCAGTGAGCCAAGTTCACACCGCTGCACTCTAGCCTGGGCAACAGAGCAAGTCTTCATCTCAAAAAATAAAAATGTGTCTACCAATTTAATATTTATTTTCGAAAGACGCCATATAAAAATGGGTTTATTTGATGTGTTGGAGGAGATACATTATCCAAGAATATTTATCTGAGGCATAATAGGAGTAATGGAGGCTGGGAGTGGTGGCTCACGCCTGTAATCTCAGCACTTTGGGGGGCTCATGCAGGAGGATTGCGTGAGGCCAAGAGTTTGAGACTAGCCTGGGAAACAGCCTTGCATTGTACTCAAAACTGTCTTTTATAAACTAACCTCCAAGCCAGACTTGATCTATGAAACGTTGCACAGTTAGTCGTCTTAATATGAAAATATATAAACTTGTTGGATTTCCTTTTGTAATTCTGGTTAAGTAAATTTACAGTGTAAACCAATTATCCATTATTCTGTCAAAGCTGTAGAGTCATTTTTCCAATTTGGGGTAAAGGGCACAAAGGATCAAGAACTGCCATCTCCCTAAAGCCACAGTAATTTAGTGAAATAATTGGCCCTCTCTCAGTCAAAGCAGAAGCCTTATGTTTTGGTGTGGTGGGGAGGGGAAGAGAGTCCCTGAAAGCAGCCCAGGAGTGGTCTAATTATGTGCCAGGGGATCTCTCAGGCTCAGGAGCCTTTAAGAGGGGGACATGGAATATAGAGCTTTCCACTTATTTGACCTGGGAAACAGGATCTTTTTCCAATCTTGAGAAATTTAAAGGCTGTTGTAGCTCTTGATAGACATAAAAAGGAACTGTGATCAAGTGTGACACTTTGAGTCTGTGTTTTTTAAGACTCGGTGTTGGTTTTCACTGTTCAGTGACTTACAGGTAAGCTGGCCAGGTTCATAAATGTCTGTCCTGATCCTAGTGATCAGGCTGTCTCTTGGAAAGGACTTGAATGCAGCCCGCAGTCCTATATGCTCTGGCACTAGCAACCTAGGGCATTTCCCACAGTTGTGCTTGGTTCCTCCATGGGTGGTGTAGACTGGAACTTGTGAGACCTTCTTGTGACTAAAATGTCAAGATGCCATTTCATTTCTTGCAGTAATTAAACCTCCATATGTCTTATGGCACAGCAGACATTTCTACCTTTATTCCCATTTCCAGCAATGTAATTGATTCCCAAGCTCATGATCTCTATCCTCTGGGCATTTCCTATGTATACTTGGCATTTTTACCTGTGCTGAATGAGAAGACAAATGAAACTGGCTTTTTCCTTCTTCCCAGATGTAGGTTATTTTGGGGGGGAGGTTGGTGGGGGATGGGGTCTCTTGCCCAGGCTGGAGTGCGATGGCGTGATCATGGCTCACTGTAGCCTTGATCTCGTGCGCTCAAGTGATTTTCCTATCTCAGCCTCCCAAGTCGCTGGGATGACAGGCATGTACCATCAAGCCCAGCTGATGTTTTAATTTTTAGTAGAGATGAGGGCTCTGAATGTTGGACAGGCTAGTCTGAACTCCGGAGCTCAAGCTATTTACCCAGCTCTGTCCCAAAGTGCTGGGATTACAGGTGTGAGCCACTGTGCCTGCCTCAGCTGTGTTCTCCATAAACCTGATTAACCAGCCCTTTTAAAGACTCCAGGACAAGGAATAGCTTCAGAACTTGGGCATGTGATTTGTTAACAATATTTTGTTTAAATTTTATTCTTAAAATTATTTTAAATTGAGGTCTGTGGTCTTATTAAAAATGGATCTTTCAAAACTTATGTTTAGTAGTTTTACCATGTATAATAATAGCATAGCATTTGTGTTGGTGAGTTGCCTTTATTTTAGAATTCTGCATGTAAGAAGTTAACAAATTTTCTTTTAGTTTTATCATATGTTTGGGTGGCAGGTTCAATGCTAGGTACTAAGAATCTGAGTGAACTAGATGCTTTTCCTTCCTGTAAGAAGTTTAATAGGATAGCGACTACATAAACAGAATTTAAATATTGTACAGTAATTAGTACGGAGGAAAGTGTGTGTGGGTGGTATGTAGTGTGTATTTGGCTGAATAGAAGGCAAGCGCCAGAACTTTCCAGTCAACAAAACTATTGGATGTTATGTTTTGGCCAGGTGACATACTCTGTAAAATAACTGCGTGTGTCAGAATCCTTTCCCCATCTTTTTTTGGAGTAAGGTGATTAATGACTTAAAGTTTGAGTGCCATATTGTAACACACCGTTAAATCCTTGTCACTTCCTGTGGGTCATGAATGGAAATCTGACGTCTCTTGATGGATGTTCTCTCCTTGTCAGTCCCAGCCTCTCCATGTGCTGTTCGAAAATTTGTTATTAGTTACTGAAGCAGTAACAGTTGATTAAGTTTGCCAGTGAGCTCTACTGAGTGTCATTTACTGCACTTCACAGCTGTGGTCTTAATGGATAGTGAAAGCAGAGCGCTTTGTGAGTCAGCAGTTTCTGGTGCTTTAGTAAAATTCTTCTAAAGTAAGTTAACTTGTATTTCAGATTGCATCCAAGTATGATCATCAGGCAGAAGAAGATCTTCGCAATTGGATAGAAGAGGTGACAGGCATGAGCATTGGCACCAACTTCCAGCTGGGCTTAAAGGATGGCATCATCCTCTGCGAGTGAGTTACGGCCCTCCATAGTCTTGTTTCTGCTCTTCCAGTTCTTTCCACGGCCTTCTCTCTTAATCTCCTTCTCAGCCCAGGGAGTCACACTTTGATATTCTACAATACATTTATTGCTTTCCTTTACTGATGTTAAAGGGAGCAACTTGATATTTCAATCCTTGTTTTTGTGTGACCAGTAAATAAGATGTCTCATGTTTTTGTTTTCAGACTCATAAACAAACTACAGCCAGGCTCAGTGAAGAAGGTCAATGAGTCCTCGTTGAACTGGCCTCAGGTAACAGCCAAACCAACCACCTCTGGTTCTAATGGGTTGCATTTTATGTAGTGAAAACTTGATTTCAGGTTTGGTGGGTTTTTTTGGTTTTTTGTTTGTTTTACTTTTTGATTACAGTTTTTAAATAAACATTGTAGCAGAAATTTGTACATATTTAATTTTTTTTGCTTTTTTTAATGGTCCTATAATTACTTATTGAACTAGTTCTGTAATTATTACATTTAGCTTAGAAGTTTTCTTACATTTGGTCTGTGTACATTCAGAAAGGACTTGACACAGCTTACACAGAGAAAGGCAATCCAGACCTTAAGGATAAACAAGGGAAAAAGCAAGGCATTCCACATGACACACGGTGGCCTGCAGAACACTGTATCAGACAGAATCTTAGTTCATGAATATGTATAAGTAAGGAAAATGGGGTACTTACTGGTCTTGAACATGTGTTTTGAGATATGAGAGAATGAGTATTTAGTAACCACAAATTTATTCTGAAATTAAAATGAAAACACATAATGAATTATTTATTAGTATGAGTAATTAAATACCTTCTGACAAAGTTTTAGGCCTGGAAAGCTCTGATACAGAATTCTTTTAAAATATATAAGGAAGATCTTGACCTTAAAACCTGAAAACACTTAACTGTTTAAAAATATTGAGACCACGATGTGACCCATGGTGAGAGACACACACTCTCTTCTTGCTCTTTCTGTTCTAGAGAGAGCCATGCTTAGTATGTATTTGGTTGAATCCTCATCAAGCAGCTTTCTGGGCAGCATCTTGTAACTAGTTATAAAGACAGAATTCTTAGAAATTATGAATGTCAATATTTAGCTTCAGATATTATAAAACTCTTTCTTTACAGTTGGAGAATATTGGAAACTTTATTAAAGCTATTCAGGCTTACGGAATGAAGCCACATGACATATTTGAAGCAAATGATCTTTTTGAGAATGGAAACATGACCCAGGTTCAGACAACTCTGGTGGCTCTAGCAGGTCTGGTACGTACATATCTTTAATGGCTGGTTAACAGATTCCCACGACGTTGGTGTTGAATTGCATCATTGCTTTCTTATGGGAGTTCAGATCAGGTGGGGCGGGGCCTCTCTCTTCTGTAATTATTAGCTTTGTGGAAAGGCTGCTGACATCAGCTGCCTGGTACTAGATAGCTTACTTAGAGCACTCGCATTTCAGATGACGCAGTGTATTACTGAACAGCCTTAAATATTTTTCATCTCTAATTTGGGCCCCCTTCATCTATGGTCATATCATTTCTTTGTTATTCCTTCTGTGAAACTGTGTTGGCCTTTTCAGTTAGTGTGCATGTTTCTGTCTAGGCTAAAACAAAAGGATTTCATACAACCATTGACATTGGAGTTAAGTATGCAGAAAAACAGACAAGACGTTTTGATGAAGGAAAATTAAAAGCTGGCCAAAGTGTAATTGGTCTGCAGGTAAGTAATGTGGTGTTGCATATTCAGTTACTTATTCAGAATGATTAATTCTTACCATGCAAAATATTAAGCCTCTCCTAAGTAAAGGATAGAAGTACTATAGTACTGGGGTGTGTGTGTAGTTTATATAATTTACGTCTGTTTAAAGCCCATAAGACAATAATTTTTAGAGGAAACCTCAGGTATGCCACCTGACTTGACAGTTATTTCCCCCAGGAAATGAAAATTTTTATTTGAATCATATTGTCTATTTTTTTAAAAGAAAAAATGCATTTTTAAATTTTTTATTTTATCTTCTTTTTCCCCCTAAGATGGAGTCTCGCTCTGTCACCCAGGCTAGAGTGCAGTGGTGTGATTTTGGCTCACGGCAACCTCTGCTTCCTAGATTCAAGTGATTCTCCTGCCTCAGCCTCCCAAGTAGCTGGGATTATAAGCATGAGCCACCACACCCAGCTAAGTTTGTATATTTAGTAAAGACCAGCCTGGCCAACATGGGGTTTTGCCACGTTGGCCAGGCTGGTCTTTAACTCCTGACCTCAGGTGATCCGCCCACCTTGGCCTCCCAAAGTGATAGGATTACAGGGGTGAGCCACCGCACCCAGCCTATTTTATCTTTTATGTGTAGATGGGATCTCACTTTGTTGCCCAGGATAGTCTCAAACTCCTGGGCTCAGGCAGTTTTCCTGCCTTTGCCTCCCAAAGTCTTGAGGTTACAGGCTTGTACCACCACACCCAGCCAGAAAATGCACTTTATAAATTCCTTAATGTTACTGACCAAATGAGGCAATTTTACAAAACCTTAATGCCAAAGTCACTTATTTACAGTACTAAAGCATGATAGAGCAGCCAAGCCCTGTTAGAATTTGTCAGTTTAAATTCTTCTGACATACATAGTTGAGATGTTTTCCTTCCCTTCATTGTTCCCCTGGAGAATGTCATGGAAACATCATTGCTCATGTCCTAAATGCTGTTGGCTTTCCTCTCCAATACCTGCTTGATACAATGCCCCTTCTCTTGACTGAGTCTTTGTAAGCTGGATTTATTTTTACACAGTACAAAATTGTATTGGTGGTGAGAAACTGGAAACCTACATTTCAGAACAACAGTTGGTTGCTCCATAAAAGCAAAATGGAATGTAAAATTATACAGTAGAGTTTGAAAAGATAGGTTATGGGGGAAAATCAGATCATCAAAAATCAGGTCAGTATGCATTTTTAAATTAAAAATGCACATACATGTTTTTGTATGTATATGTAGATATGTACGTGCATCTATAGATATATACATAAACACATAGGTAAAAAAGCTAAAAGTGTATTCACAAATGTTGACAGTGAATGGATGGTGGCAACACAGTGATTTTTGTCCCCATCCTTTTTGCTCATATGTTTTTTCTGAATTTTCTCCAATGAACAGATTTTATATTTAGTAATAAAGATTTTCTTTAATTTTATTTTTAAAGAAAAGAGATTCAACATCAGAAAAGTGTTTTTAACCACTGGAACAGGATGTAATGGTCAGTCCTGAAGCCATACTGTTCTCAGCGGGGAAGAAAAGTTAATTGTTTCCCTGAACTTTGCCGAGTTCAAATTCCTCATTCCACCTTTCTCCAGCTCTGTCCAAGGACATAGCAGTTGCAGGAATAAAATGTGGCTCTTTTCTGGTGAAAATGTTGGTGATTTTGAAACTTAAAGAAGCCGTTGTTACACTCCCAGAGAATACACCTGGCATTTGCTTTCACATTTTATGTAAAACATTCCGGGAGCAGAACAGCATATTGCTTGGCCTAGGATTGCTTCTGTTTAAATGACGGAAGCTGGTGCCTCTAAATTTGGTTATCTGGTGAAAGAGTAGCAGAGGAAATTATTCTGCCACTGTAATGACTTTAGTGTGTCAGTCCACCTGTTCAAGTATGTTTAACTGTGCAACGTGTGAGGTTTTATGTATAGTGGATGTCTTTAAAATTTTCTTTTTAAAGTTAGCACTTGAAATTTGTTTGTAAATGCATAGAAGAGTTGGCTGGAGCCTCAGCTCAGTAACTTGTCAGTTGTGCTGTTCTTTTTAGTAGCATGGAAAGTTTTGTTTGTGTTGTATATATTGTTGACATCTGATAATTAGTGGAATTTTATTTTTAACCTAAAAGATGGGAACCAACAAATGTGCCAGCCAGGCAGGTATGACAGCTTATGGGACGAGGAGGCATCTTTATGATCCCAAAATGCAAACTGATAAACCTTTTGACCAGACCACAATTAGTCTGCAGATGGGCACTAACAAAGGAGCCAGCCAGGTAAGCAATACCTTTTTATTTGTTCAAGAGTACACTTACTTTATTCTTATTGACTGAAAGTTTAAAGTAGGCATTTTTGTGTAGTTTATTTAGAGTGTATTCCTTTAGGAATGTGAACTTTGCTGGGAAAGCAAAAGAATCAAAAGACCTTTTCGATAGCAGCAAAAGTATGATGTGTCTCATGGTTTTTGTTGGCAGTTAGAACAGCTGGCCTTTCTACCTAGCCAGAAAAAAAAAAATAAATGTTTATTATAGTGTTCTTCCTCCAAAGTCCAAGTAAAATATTGCTCATTTAAATACTTTTTTTTTTTTTTTTAAGGAGCTCTTAATAGGTAAAATTATCTGGTGTTCCACTAAGAAGGATTTAACTGGCATTCCTATTAGATGTGTCAATATAAGCAGATGGAAATGCAACATGGTGAAAATACCAGTATGCCACATCTAAGATAGAAATATTTCCTTGTTAAAAATAGGTCACCAGCACCTCAGAAGGAAGTTCTAACAACCATTTGAGAACAGACAGGTCCCACATCCAACAACAGTGGGGATAGGGTTTGAAAAACATTTTCTTAGTGAGTCCCGGTGAGATTTATCACTTTGCCCTTCATGGAACACACATCCTGCCAGGTGTGGCATTATAGCTCTCATAGCTGCCTCACTCACGTTTGCTTTTCTACCTACTTTGAACCTGGAAGTATGTGCCTGATATAAGTAGAGAGATGAAGTATGAGTTACTGTACTCTGAAGAAAGAGGCGAGTGGCTGTGAAGTGGCTGGCTCTTCTATATCTTAGCCTTTTGGAAAGACTCAAGTCCTTAGGATCTGCTCAACATAGTTTTTGTTGAATATAATTAGAAGCTTTTGAAATTGGTAACGCGGATAATGTATGTAGTCCCCATGGGCATTCACATGGAACTTTGAGGTGTGGGAGCATTACACTCTCACATTCTTTATGTCTCATCCTCTCCTAAATCCAGAGTAGGTAGTAATGTCTCCATTTTGCATTTGAGAAACCTAAAACTAAATTTACTTGAGGCCACATAGTAATTTTATAGGAGGGCAAGGATTTGAAGAAAGGTCTGAGCTGGCTCAAAAGTCAATGAATATTGCTTCATGAAAGTGATTTGATATCAGGATATTTTAGTTAAGCTAGCTTTACTTCTGAACCAAATGAAAGTTCCTGTATTACTGTTCATATTCAATGTGAATTCTACAACTTATAAATTATTCATGAGAATAGATTCCAGCTGCTGTTTTTAACTTTTATACTGTGTTCTAATACCAGGCAGGGATGTTAGCACCAGGAACCAGAAGAGATATCTACGATCAGAAGCTAACATTACAGCCAGTGGACAACTCGACAATTTCTCTACAGATGGGTACCAACAAAGTTGCTTCCCAGAAAGGAATGAGTGTGTATGGGCTTGGGCGGCAAGTATATGATCCCAAATACTGTGCTGCTCCTACAGAACCTGTCATTCACAACGGAAGCCAAGGAACAGGAACAAATGGTTCGGAAATCAGTGATAGTGATTATCAGGCAGAATACCCTGATGAGTATCATGGCGAGTACCAGGATGACTACCCCAGAGATTACCCATATAGCGACCAAGGCATTGATTATTAGATCCACACAGGAGGAGCTCAGTATTTAGTCCATTGTTTTTATTCAGTGAGAACCAAGCTAGCCTTGAGTAATTTTTATCTTGTCTTCCTAAAACACTATCAAGCTTATTGTACTTTTAAGAAAAATTGCCTTACATACATTCCTTTTTCCTTTTTCTGCCTCTTCCCTCAATAGTTGCCTTTTAGTGCTGTACTAGATAAATCCTACAGCATAACCAATAACTTGCATATGAAGTAAAAAGGAATACTGTGAAAGGGGAATACTCTTGTACAGCCAGTTCTTTTATGCAAAAATCTATGCATTTTTACAATCTTACATTAAATTGGTATTTTCAAACAATAGGAAATTATTTTTTTTTTACAGTTTAGTGTATCTGGTTTCTACATGGAAGACTAAACTCATGCTTATTGCTAAATATGGTCTTTGCCAACTAAATCTAAGATGCAGCATTTTAGAAAATTACATATCAATGTTTCTACAGTATTGTTTGCTAATTTTTAAATAAAGTCATGATCAGTGTGCATTTGTGATGATATGTGTACTCATTCTCTTACCTAGCGGACAAGATCTTTACAGAGTGGTGTTTCTAAAGGAGCATGTACAAAAATGGCCTGTAGACACTTAGGTCTGGGCGGTGCATTTGCCCTTCCTGTTTGTGCCAATGTATCAATGTAGAGTTGCTCTGTTTTCTTCAACTGTATTTATTGCTGCATTTCTCAGCAAAACTTATCCCATTGTATTTTTTATAAATAAATATTTTTTTTTTGAACATTTATATGAACCACAGGCTGATTATTTTCTAGCTAGTTCTAGATAGGTAGGGTCAGTTTTTTTTTTTTTTTTTAAGTACCTTTATCCTAGGTACTGTTGCAAGGTACATTAGCATTTAATCCACACAACTCTGCATTTTGTGCTTAAGGAGACTGAGGCTTAGGAAAATGAAGGGACTTGGCCATGACACATAGTTAAATTATAGGATTCAAATCATTATCTGACCCTTGCTTATTTCACTGTGACTTGGCTGGTCCAGATTCATCTTAAATTCAACTTGGAGTAAATCTTAAAATAATCTTTAGGAATATTGATAGGAGCGGTGGGGAATTTTCCTATTTTAGGGTAAATAAATATGAATAAGAAACATGTTAGCTCAGCCATAGGATGTGCTGCTTGATAATGAGCCAGGGTTTATAGTGAAACATAAACCCTCAGTCCCGACAGAGGGACGAACAAACAATAGCTAGGTGTCAGAGTGACAAAAATGCAGTCACTAAAAACTAACTCACATTTTCTGACATTGTCACAGCCAAGCCACGTCTTCTGATAGGATTGGCTCTATTAGGTTTGGGGGGCAAAACCCGCCAGTTTTTTGTGGAGGGAGATGAGGATATACACATGGTTTGATGAGCCCACAAAAGTGAAGCTTAATTGCTCATGATTCCACAATGTCTAGGTTTAATGCTTCTGGGAAACCACTTGTAAATGAAACTATTGGAGTCAACCTAATTCAATGGTAGCATTTAAGAAAAAAGTCATTGCATTTAAAGTAGACCTGAGCTCTCAGGCTGCCCTTGTCATCTTTGAAGAGGTGTTTAGGGAAGAGACACCTTCTATCACACTATCTGCCCTGCCATTTAAGTCGGATTGGTTCTCATGAGGCTGCCAATCAGCATGTTACAATGTTCCTATTGGCTTAGAATTTTAGAAAGGAAAATCTCTTCCCCTCACTCCCATCTATGTAAATCTCTGAGGTCCAGGCAGAAGTATTTTTAAAAACTGATCTCCAGGTAATTCTCAGGTGGGGCTGTGGTTGAAAACCTCTTCTTCCAGAATGTCTACTGTAAGAGTGCCTTGTGCCTTCCTTGTGTACCAGGAGTTCTGAGATACATAGTGTGTGCCATCATGGAATGTGATGTGCTGGAGTGATATGACAAGTGGATTCACAGCCATATCAGAAGAGCATGGAGGGAAAAGACAGAGAGAGGGCAAGTAATGCTGCTCAGAGGCACTGCAGAAGCATGGTGCTATTGGAGCTGGATTTTGAAGAATAGCAGTTTGCCATTAGCAAAGAGCTGGAAGAGTATTCAGGAAATAAAGGAAGAGCACGTGCACACCTAAATCACTGGTTACACTCCTGACTCTTGCACATGCCCAGTTTAGGTGTCAACTCATGTTAGGGTTTAAACTTTTGGCTTTTGTCACTAAATCTAAGAATTACACGTTGAAAGGCTGGTTAACTTTATCATATTTAAAATGATAAAAATTTATCCTATTTCCAGGATTGGATGAGTAGGGAGATGTCCTACTCTGTATAAGGACAACGTTCCAAGCTAGGTATGGTAGCATGCCTTTAGTCCCAGCTACTTAAGAGGCTGAGGCAGGAGGATCACTTGAGCCTAGGAGTTGGAGGCTGCAGTGAGCTATGATGGCACCTGTGCATAGCCACTGTACTCCAACCTTCGCAACATAGTGAGACGCTGTCCCTTTAAAAAAAATTCCAGAGATTTCTGCTAACAAAATCCTTATCTTAAAAAGGCTTGTTTATTGGTTGTGCACTTACAAACTTACCTCAATTCTTATATAGTATACTTTTAAAATGGATGCATATAAACATGGTTTTAAAGGAGTGTTTCTGTCCTAATTTGTACCAAAAAAGATTGTAAACTTCTATGGTTCCAGGATTGTTACCAGGTCAAACAATAATGACAAAGAAAATGATGAAGAATAGGGTTTATTAGGTCTTTAAAAAACAAATTCCACTAACTTTTCTCTAGTGAGCTTGTCTTCTATTCTGTAAGTGGCTCTTAAAAGGAAACTTTTTCCAGGTGCAAATACCTAATGGTTACCTATCCCACAACGGCCTGGAGTTCTGTTCCCTCCTCATTCCTTAATGAGTCCTTGCCTTGCGGTGCCCTTACGTTGTTTAATTTGTTGCTCCTTTTTACAAAACTCTGAAAAACAAAAGAACAAGTTAGATTAGTACTCTGTGTCTGCACTGTTGATAATGTAGGGGCCCAGGGAAAACTTCTCCTTTGCCCTCTGAAGGTTTGCTGAAGAATTAACTTACAAAAGGCAGATTAACAGTAGAAATGGTGTATCAAATTAGCACGCACGGGAGAATCACAGAATGATTGTGTAACCTTGAAATTCGGTACAGATCTATATTTGTTTTGAGGAGAGGGAGACAGAGAACTTTGGATGACTTTATGGGGGTATAAATGGCTTTTAGGGGAATTTAATCAGCTTGAAGAACACTTAATGGCCTAGGACAAAATCTATTAGGCACGCAGGACAGTGGTTTGTGACAAAAGTCTGCCCAGGTGTGTTGACCAACGTTAGTCTTTGTTTCTGCTATATGAGTCCAGTTAATGGAAAGCTCAGGGAAGGGGCCAGAGGTTGTTTTTTTTTTTTTTTTGGTGGGTCTGGACTTTAGTAGGCAGATAAGGGAACTTCATTCAGATGACAGCTTTATCCTGTGCTTTGGGAGAAGGTCAGAGAGACCTTGAGGCTTCTTCAGTTCAGCATGTCAAAGTGCCATATTCTGGAGTATGGGTTTCTGAGTCCCAATGATAACCATTTACAAAGAGTTCTTGGCCTGAAATTTCAGAGAATTGAATCCTTAAGAAAGTTTCTCCTGTTGAAACAACTATTTTAGGGGGTAAATTTCAAGGTGGATTTTTTTTCTTTTTTTTTTTTTTTTTTTTTTTTTTTTTTTTTTTTTTTTTTTTTTTTTTTTGTATGTTTTTCTTTTTTTTTTTTTTGTTTTTGTTTTTGTTTTTTTGAGACACAGTCTCCCTCTGTTGCCCAGGCTGGAGTGCAGTGGTGCAATCTCGGCTCACTGCAACCTCTGCCTCCCGTTTGGTGCTGGGATTTCAGGCATGAACCACAGCACCCGGACTTCATGGTGGATTTTTAACTGGAAAAGTAAATCAGGGAATGGAGACCTGGCTAGCTTCATTACACCATCATAAACACTTTCCTTAGAGTACATACAAATAAGTCAATAAACAAAAGTAATAATTGTATTTTGGCAGGGTGTGGCGGCTCACACCTGTAATCCCAGCACTTTGGGAGCCTGAGGCGGGCAGATCACCTGAGGTCAGGAGTTCGAGACCAGCCTGACCAACATGGTGAAACCCTGTCTCTACTAAAAATACAAAATTAGCCAAGTGTGGTGGCTCATGCCTGTAATCCCAGCTACTCGGGAGGCCGAGGCAGGAGAATCGCTTGAACCTAGGAGACGGAGGTTGCAGTGAGCCAAGATTGCACCATTGTACTCCAGCCGGGGCAACAAGAGCAAAACTGTCTCAGGAAAAACAAAAAAAAAAAAAAGTAAAAATTGTGTTTGTATGTTTTATACGGAGAAGGATGAGGATACATTCATTATAAACTGTAGAAGTGGTGTTAAAAAATGAGTGCCAGCTGAACTAAAGAGTGCATTGAATGCTCTATTTAAAGCTAAAAGGGCTTTAACACCTAATTTTTATGGCAACAGAATGAAAGAAAAGTATGAAAATACCATATAACTTAGACAAGGAAAAGAGCTGAGACATCATTCAGCTGTTAAAATTTCCCTGTCTACCCAGGATAAGGCAAGTATGCAACAACTGTGTTGCAAAGGCTGTTGAAAACAGCTGCCTGCTATTTCCAGATATAAGCAGTATGGGCGCTCTGCTGAGGGTGTGGCTTCTTTCACACTGTTGTGCCTGGGCTAATAAAGGACCTGAGAATTGCAGATCTGTCAATACTGGCACAGAAGGGCACACAAGTGTGCTCTCCCTAAGATGGTGGGTATAAACATGATGCTTGGAGATGCCTAAAAATGTTTTAGAAAAAACAGTTAAACTTCTGGACCACCCAAAAGGCCAGACCATGCCATTAGCACCCAAGGGACCTGAACTGTGTTCAGGACACCTTCTGCCCAAGGTAAGAAGTGCTGCTGCTACTTAGGAATCCATCTGGTCAGCATTCTGTTCAGCTTCACTTCCCCAGGGAGAAGGTTCTCAGTAAGGGAGGTGGGTTCAGCCTTGGAGAGTTGAGCCCAAATCCCACTTTCAGACCCTGGGGTAGCAGAAGCCGCAGAGCCCTCTGGAAGAGAGAGGCTGGGTATGAGCCTCCTTTGTGTGTGTGTCTTTACGAAACTTTTGAGATTGTGAGCACAGAGATTGCAATCAGAAATGAAATGTTTGCTTACCAGAAATTCTTGGTCCATAAAGTAGGGCTTTTCTGACGATCCATCATTTGTTTCCAGATCAACAGTAAAACACAGGAAAAGTGCATGCAGCACAGTTTCAAACACAGATAAAAAACTATGAGCTACTAAGTAGGCAAAAAAAGCTACCAGTAACAGAGGGACTGCCCACACCTGGAATGCACGGTTGTAGTTAAAAGCCATGAGTCCTCCAAAAACAGTGAAACACACCACTAGCACCTGTTCAAGACAAGAGTTTGTTGAAAATCTTTATGAATCAGTTGCTTAGAAAAATTTTTGTCAGTTGCAAGTAATGATTTAATATATGTTCATGTGTGCAACGTGTGTACACTATTGTAAAGAATGCTTGTCAGAAAATTTGGTAGAATGAAACAGGAAAAAACGAAAAGCTATATCAAAAGGAAACCCACTTAATGGTGGGTAGGAGGTTATGTTTAATTTTATCTGTGCCTAGCTTTTGTATTTATATAAATGTAATAATATCTCACACACTTTTATTCTGTTTTTTCACTTAACACCAAAATAAGCACGTTCACTTTAAGACATTTTTAGAATCCGCCCCCACC